TCTCAAGCACTGCGCCACCAGGGAAGCCCTATTTTTAGTTTTTTAAGGAACCTCCATACTGTTCTCCATAGTGGCTGTATCAATTTACATTCCCACCAACAGTACAAGAGGGTTCCCTTTTCTCTACACCCTCTCCAGCATTTATTGTTTGTAGATTTTTTGATTATGGCCATTCTGACTGGTGTGACGTGATACCTCACTGTAGTTTTGATTTGAATTTCTCTAATGATTAGTGATGTTGAGGAGTCTTTCATGTGTGAAACCCTTGATTTTAACTCAGAATTTTATCACTCTCTCTTGGGTAGAAAGCTAAGAGAAGAGGAGTAAAGGTATATATGCCCTGTACCTGTGCAATAATCTGCTCAGAGCCAATTTTGATTCAGCTAACAATAAAGAACCATCACAGTTTTAGTAGAACCATCAACAAAATAAAAGCAAGATATTTGAACTATAGCTCTAATAGGTTTATGCAGGATAAAATGAGGAACACAAAACCATAGGCTGGGGAATAACTAGGATGCTGTTACACTCTAGTAGGAAGGTGATAAGGACTCAGCTATGAAGTGGCTATAGATGAATGAAATAGTAAAGGGGTGTACAATATCAGCAAGACTTGATAGATGAGATAATAGTAAATAAATTAGGGTAAAAGTCAAATATAGCATCAATTTTTCTGTCATGGTAGCTAGAAAAGCTATGATCCAACTATGAAAAATAGAATTTTAAAAGAATTATCATTTTGAGAGTTAGATATTTTTTTTGGATTTCTTAAGCCTGAGGTAATAATCAATCTGTGATTTTAATTAGGGGAGTATAGCTTAATTCTTCTTTAATTACCTCACACTAAAGATTTTTTCTCATCTGAATCTTTTTAAGTTACTGCTTGTACTACTCCTTTAGTATTAATTATTAATTAACTTGTATTCTCAATGACCAATTCATGTGAATGTCTTATTTCCCAAAGCAGATTTTGCTCTCCCAAAGAATAAAACCAATGTTTTACACTTGTATCCCCCATATCTCATTCTCTGGCACTGTAACTCCATACTGACTAAGTAATACTATTTTATAGCACATGGTTCAGATATTCTTTGAAAAATATAAAGGATATATAAAAAATTATGTTCAATATTCTGAGATGAAAGTTCAGGATGCTATCAAACAATATAAAGGAACTAGAAAGAACTCTTGTAAATTTAATATACAATAGTGTCAATAAACAATGCATTTAAAATAACTGAAAGACAAATTTGAGGAAATCTCTTAGAAAGAAAAGATAAATAAAATTAGAGAAAAGATAAGATTAATAAAAGAAATGAAAAAAGAGATTTCCCAGAACCGAAGGACATGTTTCTACATTGAATGTGATCACCAAATACCCAGCCCAATGAATAAAGCAAGACCCACCCAAAGGTATATCAAATACTGAAATGTCAGAACACCAAGAAGAAAGAGAAGATCAAATAAATGTCAAAGAAATAGGTTATATACAAAGGATCCAGAGTCCAATAGTATCAGACTACTCTACAATCACCTAGAAGCTAGAAGACAGTTCATCAATGACTAAAATGAAGAAAAAGTATCTCCAATGTTGAGTTGTATATCCAGCCAAATTATAAAATGTAAAGGTAGAATAAAGGTCTAGCTATTTTCAAACAAACATGACCTACAAAAATGGGCTTCCTATGCACTCTTTCTCAGGAAGCTGAGAATATGTTCCACCAAATCAAGGAAACAGGGAGACAGGAGATCCAAGACAGAAAGTAATCAACATGTAAGAGAGGAAGAAGGAATTCCTAAAACAACAGTAAAGAAAAATCCCAGGATGACAGCTGTGCAGCAGGCCTATAAAACAAGTCCAGATCAGAGCAAGAGAAGTGAGTGTTCCAGGAGATATGTACCCAAGATTAAAATGGGTGTGAGAAGTAACTTGATATGGTTGACCGTACTGGTAAGTCTGCCTGAGTTAGTGGTAGGTGAAGAGTAAAGCAAACAAAAAATATGATGAGGCAATTGTTAATTCCAGGGAAAACAAAACTTTAACAAAAAAAGTAATCACAGTCACAGTAAAATACCTGATTTAGTGGTGAATAACATATATATAACTCTAGTGCTTTAAATTTTGAGTACTTTGATCAAAACTTTGAAATAATTGGGAGGTTGGAGCAAGAGAAGGAAGAATGGTGTGAGAGAAAAGAACCAAATCCCCATCTTTCATGGGAATAAATCAGTAAACAATATCTACAATTTTTAAACCAAGAAATCAGAGTGGAATCATGTTACTCAGAAATATGGAGATAAGGAGCTAAAAATATCTAGGAGTCAAATGGGACTGCTTCATTGTGGAGGCATAGAGCAGAGAACTGCTTTGTTTGTACATAAACTATTTGACTTTTAACACTATTACATCTGTAACTCTGACAAATAATTTAAGAATTTTGGGTAGTAACCAGCTTATTTTAAAATGGTATATTTTATCTCACAATTAACTAAAGATGCAAATAAGCAAAAAAGAATGAAACATTTTCCAGTTTATTATCTTCTGACATTTGTCCCTAAATGCCACTCCCCACCTCCCTTAGAAAAATACTATGTTCATTTTCACAAACTTAAATACATATATTTGGTCATCTTGACTTACATAATTGCTGACAACATATGAAAAGAAAAACTGGTTCTGTTTCTTTGTTATAAATAAGTTATTAAATTATGCATGTGAACATTTGAAACATATACTAATAAAAACTACCAGAGCAATAAGGTTTATCTAAGTAGCATCTTTGAAAAATAGTGAAAGGTCATTATTTGAGATGCTTGTTTCATGATTTTTAGCTCTTCTATGGTTTCTGGCCTATGAATGATTCATTCATTCAATTTTTTTTCATGTAATACACTTTTACAAATTTCTTTTTTATAGTCAAGGCACCTTGCTAAGTTCTGAATTTCCCAAAATCTGTAATATTTTCACTTGTACTTAATGATCTTAAATACTGTAAAGTGCTTAATCTAGCAACATATATCTAAATCTGTTAACATTTGCAATTATTTTTCAGGGAAAAATTCTAATTTGAACAATAGTATTTATTGCTTACAGATAGACATGGAGACCTAAACTCAATATTTTGAAGAATTGAAGAAGCTTTCTATTGTCTCTTCTAATTTTCCTCCTTGCCAAGAGTTGGATAAATATCATAACATTGTGTCACTGTAAAAAGGTGGAAGGAAAGGCATTCCACCTTTTTACAGTGTTGCACCTTTTTCCTACATTGTCAGGAAATTGTACTGCTCAAGCAAATATTTAAAATGTAGCAATAAGAAAAAACCTCTAGACAGTAAACCGCAAGAAGATATGAGCCCTTCCTATTATTCACCATGGCATCCCCAGTGCCAAACATAGTATCCAGCAATATAATGGGTATTGAAATATGTTAAATGAGTGAATGCAACACTGCTTACTAATTTCGTCTATCTTCCCTAATCAAAAGAGATACAAAAAGACCACATTCTATTAGGTATCAGGAATTTATATATCTGACTACGAAGGAAGACCCATCTTGTCAAGTTTTGGATCCCCAGAACCTAGAAAATATGGAAAGACAAAAAAAAAAAAAAAGTCCTTGTCGGGAACAGATTGCAGTGGGTTAGACTAGCACCCAAATCCCCTTTTATTTGTCACCAACAAAACTTCCAGCCTACTCTGTCTGCCCTCTCTTAAAACTGAATGGCCTTAAGAGGAGTGATTCTCAATAGAAAAGTCACTTTTTCAGGAACAGGCACTTCCCACTCCATGCAAAATGAGGCCAAGTCAACAAAACAGCAAAGACTTGGCTAACGCAAGCACAAGCTAATTTATTATGATTGGTCCAAATTACCCACTTTTTTTTGCCGCGCAGGCCAATATCCACAACCGCACTGATGCCTCATGTAGGGCGAACGTTTTCACCAGTAGCTGGTGAGGAGCACGGTGTTTCTCAGCCAAAACCGAGGGAGACTGGAAATTGTGCAGTGCAGTAATCCAAACACCTCGAGTGGATCCCAGTCTTTAAAATCTATATCTCGTAAGAAATTCCTTCCATTTTCCATATTACAAGCTGGGGAAACAAATCTCCGGAGCTCTTCAGGGATGAGCTCTTTTCCAAATACTACAACCACTGCCACCTCCCCATCCCTCAGTCCAAGGTTGAACCACACACGACCCAGTTCTGAAGGGTCACATCTAGCTGACCGCCTCCCAGCTGGCCTTTAAAGAAGCCGCGCGCGGTCGAGCTGCCCCAAAGTCCAACTTCCGGCCACAAAATGAGAGGATGTTTTCCTCCTGGCCACACCCTCCTAGCCTCGCCCTCCACGCCCCGCGCAAGAGCGCGCGGGCGCGCGGGAGGGGCGGGGCCGCGTAGGCGGCCACTGCGAGTTTCGCCCTCCCTCAGCGGCGCGCCGGAATACCCCGGGCCCACGGACAGCGCGGCGGCGCGCGCGCGCGCTCCCGGTGCCCTCCTCCGTGACGTGCCTGGCCCAGGCCGCGCAAGGGCGCTGTAGCTGCCAGTGCCGCTGTCATGGCGTCTGAGGCGCTGTCTGAGGAGAACCCGCCGCGGTCTCTTTAGAGCGAGGGGCGGGCGGCTGGGTATGGAGAGCGGCCCTGAGAGCCTGCAGCCGCTAGAACACGGAGTGGCCGCCGGGCTGGCGCCAGGGTCAGGTTCTCCGCAGGAAGGGCGACAGGAGACCAGGCTCGCCGCTGGGGATGGTCCTGGAGTATGGGCGGCGGAAAGCAGCGGCGGGAAGGGGCAGGGGGCGGCAGTGGCCGGGAGGAGCCTCTCGGACTCGGCTTCTTCCGCCGGCTCGCCTCGGGTTCTCGTACCCTGCAGCTCCCTCCCGGACTTGGACTTGAAGGGGAGCGATTTGGAGAGTCCTGCTGCCCAGAAGGCGCCTCTGACAGGGCAGCACAAGGTGACCGCCTCCCCGGAGGCAGCTGAGGCCGGAGCCGACCATGAGTTGGTTCCGGCCGGAGACGCGGGCGCCCTCGCGGATCCCGCCGGCACCTGCCGGGCAGAGTCGGCGGCCGCGGGCTCTGAGGAGCCCAGCAGCGGCGGCGGCCTCAGCAGCAGTTGCAGCGACCCGAGCCCTCCCGGGGAATCGCCGAGCCTGGACTCTCTGGAGTCGTTCTCTAACCTGCATTCTTTCCCGAGCAGCTCCGAGTTCAATAGTGAGGAAGGAGCTGAGAACAGGGTCCCCGAGGAGGAGGAGGGAGCGGCGGTGTTGCCCCGGGCTGTGCCTCTGTGCCGAGAGGAGGAGCAGGAGGAGGGGGAGGCAGCCCAGGTGCTGGCGGCCTCCAAGGAACGCTTCCCGGGACAATCTGTTTATCATATCAAGTGGATCCAGTGGAAGGAAGAGAACACACCCATCATCACGCAGAATGAGAATGGCCCCTGCCCTTTACTGGCCATCCTCAATGTTTTGCTTCTGGCCTGGAAGGTACACTCCGCAGCTTTCTATTTCCTACAGCTTTCGGGGAGGGGGAACACGGGGCGAGGGAGCTGCTGCCTGTCAGCTGATGGCTTCTTCCTTTTTTTCCCTCATTCATCAATCCATCCCTTTTTCTTCTTACATGAAACTCGTTCTGAGACTCTCTTGTTGGAAGAGTGTTCTCATATGTATGTCAGAAAGAACTGCCGGCAACCTCAGGTCTCTCTTGCAGTGTTTAGTGATGAGCGTTCAGCATTCAGCTATGGCTGATATACTTGGAAACAGCCGGGACTAGGAGCATCCTAAACCCTTTGATTTATTTTTTTAACCTGTATTTTTCTGTGCTATTCCTTCTTACTGACTATCACATATGCAAAAGAGTGAAGAAATGGGGAAGGTCATCTTCAGAAGTTACCATCAATCCGTGATATCAGGGAGCAAGTTTGATGGTTACGTTTAGTCTATTTTCCAACTCCTGCTTGCTCCATTTGGGTGTGGATACTTAAGGACATGGTGCTGGGGAAGATGTGGCCCCTCAGACAAATTCCATTTAAGGAAAAGCAGTGGCCTGAGACCTAATTACCATAACTTCTTGGTTTTCAAAGATTGTTTTTATTTTATGCATGATTTTTACTTGCCTCATTTCTTTGACTCTACTTAAAGAGTCTGGCATTATTACCAGTAACCACACATCAGAATGTGTTAAGGGAGCTAAAATTATAACAACTAAAATAAGAATAGATATATTCAAGTTAAAGGAGCAAAAGAGGGAAGGGCCCTTCAAAAGGAAGTATGTTGAGGACTCAATATATTGAGGACCTGTAAATGAAGTGTCTTATTTAATCTTGCAGTTTTAGAGTGCTGAGAAGATGCATCTTAGAGTACATATTTTACTTTTAAATTGAGAATTGTATCTCTAGATAAAATGTTCCCTAGAAAAAAATAATCTGGATTATTGTGACTAGTTAGGAAGAAAATCAAGTAAAGGAAATAGTGTTTATTAAGTCCCTTCATCTTCCTTTCTAGCAAGGGCTAATGCAAAAGAAATAAGATTATATCTTACCAGTATCTAGTACATAATGGCACTCAAGTGTGTTGAGTGAAAACTGCCTGCTCTTGAAGAGCTGTTGAGCTATTTGGAGTTGCAGCATCGACTTACTTGAAATTACTAAAGAACAATGCAAGACAATACACTATAAATGCTAGGTTATAGGAAGCAGGTTGAAATGCATTAGACATCCCAAAAGGGGAAGTTTTCCTTTGGTCTGGCATAGTCCCAGAGAGCTTCATGGAATTTTTAGATCTTGAAGGAAGCTCTTAAGGAAAAGTAGGATTTAAAATAAAAGGAAAATGGAATTCCTGGGAGAGGGAAGGGTATAAATAAAAGGGATGAAAATAAAATGGATAATGTGTGTGTGTGTGTATGTTTTGGATGACAGGAGTGGTAAGTTCATATTGCAGGATAATAGAAAATAAGATTGAAAAGGTGAAGAGCCCCTTGATGAAAGCCCTTGAATGTCAGACTAGGGAGTTAAATTTCATCCTATGAGCCAAAGTCCCCAGTCTTTCTGTCAGAAGGAGTAACAGTTTCCTTTAGGCTTTTCTCACTTCCTAGTTTCTACATAGTACTGCAGAAGTTCAGAGGAAAGAGCAAGTACCATGGTCTCAAATATTTGGGGATAGATGAGCATTGAATTGGTCTTTGAAAGACAGCATACATTTGTGTTCCCACTCTATGTGAGGTACTAGAAATACAAAGATGAGTAAGATGCACGTGTGCCCTCATGTAGCTCATTAGTAATGGGGAGACAGACATATAAACAATAACCACATTGCAATGTAGAAGTTCTAAATATGCTATGGAATTACAGAGAAAAGTGTAATTGAGAATGGAACATGTCAAGGGAAAGCTTCACAGAAGAGGTAACCTGTGTACTGGGTCTGATGGATGAGTAAGAGAAGTTCCTTCGAGGCAGAGGGAATAGTGTGTTCAAAGATGCTGAAGCAGAAAAAGGTTTGTTCTATTTGGAGACTCCAACCTTGCTTGGAGTGCAGTGGAGGAGGAGAAGGAAATGGCAGTAGCAGGAAATAAAATTGATAGGTGGGTTAGACTCTGAATGAGCAGGCATGCTAAGGTACTTCGAGATTGTTTTATAAATCTTTGGTTCTTAGCCTTTTTTCTGCCTCAAGGCTATTGATGCACACAAAAATTACTCATCAGTAATCATCAGTGATTGATGGGGAGATAGATTAAGAGAAGCAAGTTTGGATAGAGCATTGTTCTCAAAGTGAGCCAGGGCTTCTGAGGTCAGTACTGTTCATAATAGTACTCAGTTGTTTTTTGCCTTTTTTGCTCTCATTCTCTCAGTGTCAGTAGAGTTTTTCAGGCTGTATGATGTGTGATGACATAATTGCTCTGACAGTTAACAGAATCTGTGCTCGTGCATTCTTGTGTTTAAAATTTTTCTCAGTTTTTATTTCTAGTATGGTAAATCTTGATAGATATAATCCACTTAAACAAGAGCTCTTGGTGATCCTCAATACTTTTTAGGACTGAAGAGGGTCTTGAGACCAAAAAGTTTGAGAAATGCCGTAGTAGAGAAAAATAGTAAATAGGGTATGAAGGTAGTTGTCAGATTTCAGAGGACCCATCATTAGACATGTTTAGACTTTATATACAGCTGATAATAGGAAGCTACTATAAATTACTGGATAGAGGAATGACATAAAGACAGGGGTCTTTTCATTTGAGATTAGACTGGAGGTGAGATTGTAGTGAGTGTAGCAGGAAGAATTGATGAGGATAGCTCTTTTGGATGGGAAATTCTCTGCCCCTTCTCTCTGATGAGGATAATGTCACAGCCTAAATGATGAATTAAATTGATTGCTATCTGGATATAGGAAATGAAGGATGTGACACTTTTTCTAATTGGGTAATAAGGATTGGTTGGATCATTCAAAAGGTAGAGAATGTGTTTTAGATGGGAAAGTTGATGTCAAGAGTTTGGCTGTGTCAGGTTGGAATTGTCGGTTAGTGGGACATAAAAATATAAATGTTCATTATGCCTCCAGAAACAAAGAATGGGCCTCAGGAAAGACGTCAAAATTATGAGAAAAATTGAACTGGAGAATTATTGCATAGATATAAGTATGGTATCTGTGAGAATACATGAATTCTCCAAAGAGAGTGGTGAATAGTTCTCAACTATTTGCCATCCCAGTATATGTGAGGAACTGCAAATTGCCATTATAAACATCCTCCCTCTATTTTCTTGCTCCCTCTTCCATCCAGTTCTCCAGTAGACATAGAGAAAACAGGAATAAAGAGGAAAACAGAGGAATAAAGTTGCTGGGGAGAAGGGAATGCTAAGCAGTAAAGATGAGAGAGTGTAAAAGAAATCAGTATAGGCACAGTTTGAGATGCAAATGAGAACTAGAGATAGGACAAAGTCATGATAGTAGTGTGGGAGAGAGACTCTAATTTAAAAAAAAAAAAAGGTCAGTTATCATTGTCAAATGCAGCAGTATCAAGGAACTGGTGGAGTAGGAAAGATTTTGCCAAAAAGGACAGATATGAGAACAAGGTCGCTAAAAAGTCAGGATAACATGGAATCCTCAGAATAGGTGGTAAAATTCTCTTCAGAGGAAAACAACAACAATCTTTTTTCTGAAGTAATGGAAGGAAGATACAAAGACAAGGTCATGTTAAGATAGAGAGACGTGAAAATTGAGGCCTCATTCTCCATTTTGGCAGAATAACAGATGATCTCATCAGTAATAGCTATTGAACTTGCCAGTAATTAAGGAGAGAAGTTGTAAAGCATCAAAGGGTGAATTTTGTGAGAAAATTATGCTGTGTTTTAAAGAAGTTCTCATCTCATTGAAGATTATGCCTAGGAATTTGAGGCATAAGCAGAAAGTAGTCAGTGGCCATGCATAAATTGGGGTATTCTTTTAAAACTTCTAGTATGTCAATTTTGCTTCCCCCACCTCCCCCAAATAGTTCTCTCATCCCTGGAAATAGGAGCAGGAAGAATAGCTGGTTAGGATTATCATGTATTGGGCTTTTCAAGGGTTGATTCATGGAGAGTCAATGGAATTAAGAATTGAAAGTAAAACAGTTGATGATCTTTTTTGGGGGAGAATGAAGTAATGAGAAAAATCAGTAAGGAATTTCCTAGCAGTCCAGTGGTTAAGGCTCTGGACTTCCACTGCAGGGGGCACGGGTTCTGTCCCTGGTTGAGGAACTAAAAAAACAAAAAAATCAATAAACTGAATACATTAGGAAGATTTGAGTGATTCAAAGGAAGTAAGTGCCATGATGATTCTGGGTGAGAGATGACAGTTAAAATGATCAAACATGGTAAGTACTGAGTTGGAAATGTTGGAGTTTTAATGAAAAGTGTTGGTTTAGGACTGATGGAAAGTAGGTGATCATCACTCATCTGTAAAATAGTTGAGCTGTGATAATCCAGCAAATCAAGAAAGAAGGAAATCTGTTCATTAAATTTAATTCAAGCTCAAATTTCTAATTCTCTTTAGCTGACACCAGGTAAATTGACCCAAATTGAAGTCTTAGAATACATTTTCATTTTGCTTCTTTATTTTAGACTGTTTTTGGTTTTTTTTAATAGTTTTTCTTTAATCTTTCATAAAACAATGCCATTTATAGGTTTGAGGGCTGTGGCCCAATTAATCAGTTGTGTTTATAAAAATCAAGTCAGAAGATATATAAAATATAAAATTTACTTTCTGATGTTATTGGCCTATGTTATAAATACTGAAGCAGAGTGATGGGTACTTGGAAGTTCATTATGCTGTTACTTTTTGGCTTTTCCATATGATTCAAATTTTGCATTATGAAACATTTTTAAAAGCTTCTGCCTTAATATTTTTATGTTTATGAAGGTATTACTTTAATAATAGAGGGAGTCCCTGCTTTGTCACACTTTTGTTTTCTTATAGAAAGAATATAGGTTCTAAGGCCCACATACTCAAAATATACATAT